CTCAAATTCTGATTTTTTTGGAGGCAAGAGGTAGCAGTTCTCAGAAGGAGGAGGCATTGTTACCTGCTGAAGAGTGAACGTTGTTCGGTTCCGCCGCTGTTTTCTGCGCAAAAACCCGTCATCGAAGTCCCCCGTTGAGTGGTTGCCAAAGGATGCAGTGCCTACTGGGAACAAACTGGGTCAGCCTGAGCAGAGGGCTCCCCAGTCCTCACACCACCCCTCACAGCAGCCAGGCCGTGCACGTGTTCAGAGGGCTCCAACCGCAGCCCCCTCAGTTGCTCCAGTTTGCCCCAGGAGAAAAGCCCTGTCTGTCCCAGAGTTTCTCTCTCTGCTCCTCTTATTATAAGCAACCAGTTGTTGTGAAGTTGACTCCAACTCATGGCGACCCCAAGTGTGTCAGAGTAGAGCTGCACTCCACAGGGTTTTCAGTGGTTGATTTTTCAGAAGTAGATTGCCAGGCCTTTCTTCTGAGGTGTCTCTGGGTGGACTGGAACCTCGTACCTCTTAGCTAGCAACCAAGTGCCCTAACTTTTTGCATCATCCAGGGCTGACTCCTCTTATTAAGCCTCCTCTTTTCATCTCCCTTACGGTCTCTCTCCCTCTTGTTCTTTCACTCTCTCCCCAAAATCTTTGACTTCAGGCCCCGCTATGCCTACTGCATAAGAGCTCTGGTGGTGCAGTGGTTAAAGCACTTGGCTGCTAACTGAAAGGTCGGCGGTTTGAACCCACCAGCCGCTCCACTGGAGGAAGATGGGGCAGTCTGCTTCCGTAAACATTACAGCCTTGGAAACCCTACTGGACAGTTCTACTCTGACCTATAGGGTCGCTATGAGTTGGGCTCGACTCGACAGCAGTGGGTTTGGTTTGGGTTTGGATGCCTGCTTCATAGGAATGGTGGTGGCCTTAACCCCCAAGGTGGCCACTTCCTGTGAAACTCTGGACTCTGAGCCAGGAAGGGCCACTGGCTTGAGGTGGAGCCTTCGTCTGCCCTCTGGCTCCCAGCTGCACCCCTGCGCAATGCTCCTTAGCTCATCCCCCTACATCTGATCTTTTAATGCCAGCTTCTATGTCTTTGGCCAGCGTGTGAGTCCAGTTTCCCTTACTTCTCTAAGCAACCAAGGTGAAAGGCTGGGGACTGGGGAGGGTGGAAAAGCAAAGGAAACACCGAGAGTGTTTGCAGCACTTTCCTCCTAGAACTGCAGGCTCCTATGAGGTAAGAAGTTTATAAATGAATATTAATCACCATTCGTCACAGCTCATCAGCACCATAGTGGATCTGTTATGTAGATGTCAATTAACAAAAGATGTGCGCCAATAGCAGCTGTCTGAATTCCAAGCAGACTTAGAAGTGGTTACTCTCAGAGGACACCCACCCTCTGGACAGGCCTTAGTAAGGACAGACAGCTCCCTCTTCCCTAGCAAAGAAAGGCAGGCGTTGTCCTCCCTGGCAGCCTCCAATGCTTGCTATAAAGCCAGAACAGAGTCTGGCCCCAAATGTGCATTCAGATCATTTTCCAAATGTGCACTATTTACTTGATAGTCCACAATGGCTTCTTAGGAAAACAAATGAGCACATTTCCATTAACCAGTGAGGGCTCTACCTGCCATGGGCTCTGTCCTCGGAATCTCTGCAAGGCCAGCCTCAGGAGCTAACACACCCAACTGGCCAAACAACGTCCCTCGGAAGGACCTCGGCCCCAGAGCCGTCCTCCAGGCTTTCTAAAATCTGTCTACTAAACAAGGCCCTCCTGCTTGTTAGTTCGCTATCCACAGCCACCACACCCCTACCCTCTGCCAAGCCTTCCCCTCAAATCACATGCTTCTTCAAAACCCCAGTTACAAACATTTCTCTCCAGCTCCTGGGAAACTTAAAAAGCAGAGCCTCAAAGCAATCTTATGGCCATTATTTTGCAGGAAGCCAAACTGACTCCTTTGGAAACAAAGCACACGGTGGTGGACAGTGTGCAGTCTCAGAGGCCCTCCAACCACCATTTTTCCCAGGCCTCTGACTTACACCTTGCAGCCCAAATTCCTTCACAACATACACACATGAACACATAAAATATCTTGAAGTGAAACACTGCATGTCAACGTTTATCCTGAAGAAGGCTGATGGCTCATCAAATTGAGAAGAAAAAAGATGACCAACACAATACATAACTGAGGGGAAAAATGGGAATGGGCTTTTTCCTTAAAAATAAATATGACGGGTGACAATGTTATGAAAACGCTAAACCTTACTGATAATTAGACAGAACAAAACAGAGCAACAATAAAATACTATTTTCACCATCTTGGAAAAACAATGAAGAGCACAGTGATTCCCAGAGCAGGTAACGGTGTAATAAAGCACGCACTCCCCTTCACCATTTCTAGGAGCACCAGTTGGTACCACCTTTCTGGAGAGCAATTTGATAATACCCATCAAAAGCAGTATTTAATGTATAAACTTGTCAAAATGTGCCAAAACAGAGAGACGAGAATGTTCCTGACAACACTGTACGAGAGGAATTTCCTAAGCAGGCGCATGCAGTGGTTTCTAATTTCGTATCAGCAACATTATCTGAGGGTTGAGATTATGAACGCTGCTTTGCTGTCTTCTTTATGCTTCTCTGTATTAATAAAAATAGAAATTAATAGCTGACAGGCTATCACGAGATGTCATAGTCCAAAGTCTGCTCTCAGTTTTCCTGTCTGCAGTAGATCACCTCCTCCCCAGCAACATTCAACTAACATAAACAGCACTTTGTGCAAAACTGGAGTAGAAACTCATCTGCAAAGGGAGAAAAAGGCTCCTGAAGACGGATCTCCTGTCCTTCTGGTCATATCAATCAGAACAAGTAGCCGGGTTGGGATGTGCACAGGGGTGAGGATGGAAGATACCCGATGGGCTGAACTGAAGGCAGCAAGCTGCTCAGTGCCCTGGGGCTCCAGCTCTCCCTAAGTGACTCCTGAAACCTGCAGGGCCTTCGCTTTCAGACACCCAGGAAACCTGTCACCTGCTAAGCGCCCAGGCCTCTGCCTTCCCACTTGACCAGAAGGTGGGCCCCCCTGAGCAATCATTCCAGATCGAGGGTTCAGTAGTGCAGAGAGGCCTCACCCTGCATACCTGCAGATGGCCCCTGCAGTCCTGCGATACACTGTCTGAGATGCACCTCTCCGCCCTGTTCATAAAACCCACCTGTCTGGGTCATTGGAGGCCAGAGGGTGTGAAATGCAAATAAGTGCCCAGACTTCCCTTCTCAGGAATGTTTCCAGAGCTGGCGGCGCCAACAACGGTCCTCATTATCCTCCCTTAGAAAACCCTGCTGAACTCTTAAGATCTTTCATGGGAAAAACAACCACGCCAACTTCCTGAAATCACTGTGCATGTTTGCCAGCTGAGGTGTGGCGACCGTGGCAGGTAGCCTGATGCTCAGGCCCTCACCTTCTCATTTCCTTTTGTCCTGCCCCATGGCTCCCTCAATTTCTTTGCCTCCAAAATTCCCCCACCTCACAAAAAAAACAAAGGAGTAGGTTGCCAAAGTGCAATCCTAGTATCGCATCCACCACGACATCCCCAGACCCGAGGAAGGTGTGTTAAATAAAGGGTCCAGTCTACAGCTGCCACAGTCACCTGCCAATATTAACCACGTGGAGGGACCACCCCTGGGTCCCCTAGGCCCTAGGTTGGGGCACCCCCTTCCCACCACCCCACCCCTACTTGACAATCCAGGACAGAGACCACATTAGGGCTTCTAATGAGAAATTTCTTCTAAGGCCTGGAGACCCTCAAAGGCGTGAACTGCCCCTTGGAACTTAGAAAGGGTGGGGAGTGACTGGTATCTGGGTCAGAAGCATCGACAAACACCGAGGAACAGCCACGTGGGAAGGACGCACCCGGCTTTGGGGCTGCGTCGCAGGCACCCGAGGATGGACCCTTGGGTGGCCCAGAATTGGCAGAGCAGTCTCGCCCTCCGCTCCTAGTGAGAACGGCCCAGGAACGGGTTCCCGGCTCTCGGTCGGGCCCCGGACGCAGCAGCCCAACTCCCGAGTCCGCCTTGGCTTTCTGGGATGCTGGCAAAACCCCGTGAAAGATTGATGCGGCCCCCTGGGGAGGGGAGCCCCGATTAAAGGCGTGACACCAGCATCTGTGCTGGGAGCACCCGGCCGGTCCCCGCGACGCGCATAGCCTGGGGCAGCCCCGGCCCAGGCGGGGAGGGAGGTGGGAGGCAGGTGGCGACCGGGCGGAGACTAGAGCGGGGTGTGGGGAGGGGGCCCGGGGTGGCCCTACTCACCGCCTGGCGGCTGCGTCCCTGGTGAACTGAGGACCCCACCACCCACCAGTCCCGCTGCCGCTCGAGTCCTCTCCCGCCGGCGCCGGCAGACTCTTTGGCTCCGGGCAAGGCGCTTACTCACCCTCTAGCTGTGGCGGACAGTGGAAATAAAACATCGCCGACGGCCCAGTCAGCTGGACGACTGCGTCTTCGGAGGTGGTCGCGGGACGGACCGGTGCGCGCACCTCCGGCCTGGCTGCAAAGCAAACAGCGACAGAACCTAAGTCTCCCTCTCCCTGCGCCCCAGCCCGGCCCCGGGGCGCACCGGCGCTCATCTCCTGGAAAAACCTCTCCCAACGTCCTCAGCCCACTGCGGGGACCGGGTAGGAGTTGGCAATGTCGTCTCAAGCCGAGCCCCCGCGGGGCAACCCCTCTGGTCTGGTCCACCTCCCTAGTCGTGCTCCCACCCCCGCCCAATACCAAACTCCGCGGGTGGCTTCCCGGCTCTCAGGGGTCCCCGCCGCAACCCCTGCAGCCCGGTCACTGCAGCCGGGTCAGGTGGGCTCACAAGGCCACCTGCGTGCTCAGCAGCTCGGGTCAGGAAGGCAGCCCAGCCCCAAAGCCCGGGAGCGCGGGGCCCGGTCGGCCGGGAGCAGCGCGTACCTCGGCGGGCGGCCGGCGGGTAAGGAAGGCCGGAGCGTGACCGCCTCCCGTCAACACTCCCGGCTCTGCTGGAGGCGGGCGGGGCTCGGCGCGGCTGGCGCCCGCAGGACCAGAAAAGTGACTCGGGAAGTGGCCAGATGTCTTGCTGTCTACAGCGCGCGCCGCCGCTCGGCACTCGCCTTTATAATCTCACGCATAATTGGCCTTAATCTGATTATTTCCAGCGCTGTCTACAGCGAGTAACTTGGATAGGTCTATTGGGCCTTACAAATGGCCCACGTGGTGTTAAAAAAAAAAAAAAATCAGTCATTTCTCAGCAAACATCAGGAATGTTTTTCCTCTTTTAAAGAGGATAGAAATAACCGCCTTTCCACCCTCCCCCTTCCCAAAAAAGGGCGTTCTTTTCTAAACACTCCGGCCCCTCCCATGCCCCCTCTGACTCAAACCTTCTTTCTCCGGGAAAGCTGGGATTTGGGCTCGTCCTTGTCAGAGGCCCGGCGACTGCGGGGCTGCGAATTGAAAAAGCGCTGCTAATTGTCGCCGCCGAATGGGTTTTGGGGCGACTCTTTGCACACGGCTTCCCTTTCCAAGCGATCGTACAAAAGGAAAGTTTGATTTTGTTCTCAGCAAGGGGTCCCTGAATTTATGTTGCTTCTCGATGCAAATGATATGCGGTGGGGCCCTTCGCAATTACTTTTAAAATGCATCCGAGGCAGACGCTCAGCGGAAAGAGACCGCCCTTCCCTCTGCCTGGGTGAAAATTAAACTCTAAAGTGCCGGGCTGAAATTTTCAAGTCCAGGGCGCGGGATTGGATCAAATCACATAAACTGCAAAAAAGCAAGCCTAATGGCGCATAATTGGTTCTGTAATAGCATTACACCAGGATAATAGCCCGTTACGGCCCCCTGCACTATTAAGTGCTTCCCTGGCGGAAAGCCTTTATGATATTAAAGGGGGGATATAATGATATTTTAGTTATTAAATGCGTGTAATTAATTTATGCACCACTGAAAATAAAGTTGGTATTATGACCCACTCAAGATGCATCAGAAGATGCAAGTCAGACAACTGTTGCTAAGTTCTGGTGTCTGTGTTCCGTCTAGACTGTGATTTTATTTTGGGACGATGGCTTCTTGGACAGACTGCATAAATTTAATATTTTATAAACATTCTAATGTTGTCTTCGAGAGCCTCGGCGAGGCGGTGGGTCGGGTCCCTTTGCTCTTAAAGACACAGCGCGTTGGAAACAAAAGGCCTGGCGGGCCGCACGTGGACACCCGCACTGCGCGAGGCGCGTCGAGCTGGAGCGCCGGTGCACACCTCTCCGAACCTTTCCGGAGGAAGGCGCCGCTCCGGCCAAGGCAAGTCAGGGCCAGCTGGATCTGAAGCGGCCTCTCCCGGGGTCAGCCGGCCCTGGAGCGGGGAGTTGGCCCAGCCGCGCACAAGGAGCCGCTGGAAACTCAGGCTCGGTTCAGAGCGGAGAGAGTTCGCGGCGCCAGCTCCGCTAGGACTACCGACTCCGCTAGTCCAGGCGGCCGGACTCCGGGAAGCACGCTGGCAGGTCCTGGAGGTGGGTGCGGCGGCAGACGCGGGGCCGGCAGCGCAGGAGAGGCGGAGAGCGCCGTTTCTGCTTCATCTAGAGAGGGCTGGAGCCCCGGGGCCGATCGGCGTTCTCTGTACGGACCAAGTGTCTGGCTGGCGCTCGCGCTCTGTGTCTCCCTGTCTCCCTCAGAGAACCTCTGCTCTCTGGAGTCCTTCTCAAGAGCCTGCAGTTGCCTTTACGCGCCCGGAGCTTCTAAAGGCCCCCTCAGGCTGCCACCCGCCTGCGTGCCCTGCGCGCTCCGGAGCCAAGCTGTGGAGCGAGGCGAGGAAGGCGTCCGGGCCGGCTCGGGCAAGATGCCACGGCGCACCTAGTGATCTCTGCGGAAGCCCTCCGCACTTGCAGTCCAACGCAGGGAAACGCTGGGCCCCAGAAACCAACAGGGCACAAGCCCAGTCTCAGCTCCCCATCCTTGACATCCTCCGAAGCAAGTTCCTATCGAGGCCCGGAGCTGGAACTGGCTCACTCAGGGTTTGCGGGCCGGCGCGCTCCTCGCGCCTCCCGGCCGGTCAGAACCCTGGACAGCGGCGCCGGCTCCACCCGGCTGCTGAGCGGAAAGAAGGCTCTGCCCCGGCCCAGCGCTGCCCGGCGTTGGGACCCGCCCGGCCCGATCCCGACCTTTCCGGGACCAACCCCAATCCTCTCCCAATCCTCTCCCAATCCAAATCTGTGCAAGTTCCTTAGGACGCCCTGTCAGCGCTCGCAGCAGGGACCGAACCCTCCGCACACCAGTGTGCGGCCCCTGTCCCGCAGCTGCAGCGGGAAGTACCCTGCGGTCCCTCACCGTCTGGCTCGGATCCGCCAGGCGTTCTCGGACGCGAGCCTGGACGCGCCCCCAGCGGGACAGCCGGCTGGACTCCCGGAAGACACCCACCTCGCACGGGACTCGGAGCCAGCTCGGGACCCTCGGCCTCACCTCGCCCAACGTCTCTCTGTCGGAGCTGTGAGGCTCGGCTGCTTCCCGCTGAAAAACAGCGAATAAACCACCAACCAAACGGCTGTAGAAACGAAACTTTGATGACGCGAGCCCCCCTTTTTCCCCCAATTGTTTCCTACACTCGGACCCCGAGGAGGTGACTAATAATAGATCCTTTACCGTCCCCCTTCTCCCAAAAAAGGGTGTTAGTAAGGAAAAGGATTTTCCCCCTTTCCCCTTAATTCTTGTGCAACAAAATGTATTTTCCAACTAACCAAACTCTCTGATCTGTCCCGCTTGGACACTCTGATAATTTACAACCTAAAAGTGTACTTTCTTTATCTAAAGACCAAGGTGACTGCTTTTAATTTTCTCTAACCTCTTTACACTTGATGTTCACCAGACTCATAATGTTAATTGGCTTCATATACGGATCATCAGTTTAATGAAGAAATAAATCCTGTGTTGCTTTATGTTTTAGCAGTGATTGCTTTAATGAGGAATGTGACGTGTTCCAAAATCAAAGCTCCAGGAGACATTAGAGGGGGTTCTATTAGGATGGAAAGGCTTATTTAAAGTTAAAACCATGGCCACATCATATTTCAACAGATTCTCTCATCGCCCCCATGCCCCTACCCCCATCTCGGTGCTTCCAGCCTAGGAGGAGACAATTCTGTGGTCCTCAGCAGTCCTGCTCTCAATATTTAAATCACAACAGCTGCAGAGCCTGCAGTCCGGATAAGAATCGTTTTCCGGTACTGAACAGGGTGCACTAATTTACCTCCAGTCCAGCGCGGCAGAGAGAAGCCAGAACAGGTGGGAAGTTCAACTCCCAAGGCTGTTCACTTTAAAGAATAAAATACAGTGGGCAGCAAGTGACATTGCTCCCCCAAAGTTGAGCGCAGATTTTGCTGGGGAAGCGGCTCCTCTAGTGTCGTCCGTCCGAGAGCTGATAACTCAAAGTCCTGGCTCCCCAAAGCAGACGGCTCTGGCTGCCCAAGTGGGCTGCTGACCACGCAGACTCCGGCCCCTGAAAATGCCTGCAAGGAGGCTCTGGGCTCCGGGGCGAGGGGAGCTTTACTGCTCTACATCAATTAATAGGAGAGTAACTCTGCCTTCTCTGATGGGTGTTTGATTTTTCTAATTTTAAGCTTGTTCTGTGAAGGGAAAGATGTCATCTCAAAAGCACCGAGAGCAGCAATAAAATGCTGGAAATTGGAGCATCTATACATGTAAGCTCTAAATTGTCTTCAGTTGACTTCTGAGTCATCTTAAATTGATTCCTGAAAAGAGTATCGAACCAAAGCAAATCCCAAATTATTAGAAAATGTGGGGGTTTTACGCTCAGGGTTGATGTTTCAAACATCACACATGGTAGTCATTGCGAATCTTTGGTTCTGTTTTAGGAAAATTGGAGAAATATTTGCAGACTTCACTGTCAACAATGTATGAGCCCAAATACATGAATATATGTTGGACTTGACCTCTCAGTTGTGCTCAGAAGGGATTTTCCCAACCTCCCCCTTAAAATTTTTCATTAACAGAAACAATTTTAGTAAATATGGTTTCAGTCCATGATAATTGAGTAAAGGAGATAAAATACTTCAATTCTCAGGGGGGAAAAAAAGTACACTGAATTCCTAATTATGTGTTTTTGGAAGAGTCCAGGTGATGTGCAGTGTTGTTCTTTTGTTGTTAAGTAGCAAAAAGCTTCTCTAGTGCAATCCCTGGGGACACACAGCTTTCCTAAGGCAGAAGGGACGGCATGTGTGTGCTCAGTGTGACACCACACGCTCTCAACTTGTTGGCAAATCTATTGTCATTTTGTAGTTTTGGAAATTGTCAAGCAAAGCTTGGAGTAGCTAAGTACAATAGAGTATGTGAAAAAATAGCAGTTAATTGAAATTCCAGATGAACAGGGGACGTATGAAGAGAAAATATATACACACAACAAGGGATAGATATGCATTTTATTATCTTGGAAATTCACTATAATTCACTAATTATACTGTCATGCAAAAGTAATAGCTGTTTATTAAATGCAAGCCACCTTCCAATAACTCCACCTCCAGTGGACACAGGACAGAGTGGATTCCCGTGTGGTTCCTGTGGATCCCACAGGCTCAGCTCCAGCCCTTTGCCCTGTCCTCCATCAAGGTCTCTGCACCCTCACGAGGCAGCAGGCTGGGATGAGGCCCCACTGCAGAGTCCATGCAGACCTTGCTTCATTCAAAGCAGGCTCCAGTCCTCACGGGCTGTGTGAGCTTGAGCAGGTCACTACTCTCTCGGGAGCTCCTGGCTCCCACTGTGAAGCGGACATACTAGTCGCAGTGTTGGCGGAAGTGTTAAAAGGCAGTGCTTGAGCTTCTGCTAAGGGTGATGGGAAACTTTGGAAACAATAGCGGTGATGGTTGCACATGATGAATGTAACTGTGTATGTAAAAAATGTTGAATGGAAAATGTTTTGTTTTATGTATATACTTACACAATAAAAAGTAAAGTGCTGAACACAATGCCCAACACGTCGTAAGCACTCCGTAAACTCAAGATACAACTGCTCTTTT